ACACGTGGAATGTTTCATATACATGGTAATTGGAATAAACCATTATCTACTGAAAATACTGCATAATTTATTTTGCATGTGGAAACTCTTGAAAGCGTATGTCTTAATCTTCCTCCAGTGCTACCATATTTTATTTCCAAATAGTTTAATGAGCATTTGTAATAGAAAGACCTCATTGACAATATGTTAAAACAAAGGACATTGCTGTAATTTTGGGAGCTCAGTCCAGTCACCTCAGATGTATCCTATATTGCTCTCAATTGATTATTCATCGAAGCAAATTGCTCACCAAGTATTGCCTATTTGCCCTGTCCTTCCCATTGCCTTGATTACTGCCCTATTTCAGGCTCAGATTCTCCTTTGCTGGGCTACAAAAACAGCTTCATATTTGCGTTTGTTTCCTCAGTTATGTCTTCTTTTGCAAGTGTCTTTCATAGTAAATCTAGAATTACCCTTTTTAAAACACAAATAAATCATCTCCCTTCCATGAAGAATCATGAGGTAATGGGGGGGTCTTTGGAAAGACACAAACTGAGGTTCACATCTTAGGTCTGACATTCACTAGTCATATGTTGTTAGATATTTTTTTCCCGCTTGTTTCTGCATTTGTGGATCAATAAAACGAGTTTAACAATACTTACCTCAAAGAAGTTTAATGTGGATTAAACAGGTAACACATGCATCCAGCACAGTGCCTGCCCCATAGTAGACATTCAGAAACAATTATGACTTTATTCTTTTGCTTAAAATGTCAGTGGTTGCCTATCCTGTAAAAGATAAAAATTCACTCTTTTTGGAGTAGACTATATAATTCTCTCTGAATCTTTCCTAAACTACCTTTTTAGCTTTCCCTCTTATACTTTCTCTTTCCCTATATATTCCAGCCAAACTAAATAAATCACTATTGTTGAACACAGTATTTTTTTCCCTCATCTCCTGACTTTTTCAGACTATTCCCTGCATCTGAAATGCTCTCACCTTCTTTCTCCCCTGGTTGGGTTATATTTGTTCTTCAAGATCCACCCTAACATCCCTTCCCTGTAAAAAAAAAAAAAAAAAAAAAAAAAGAAAAAAAAGGACAAAACAAACCAGCTACTATTATGACAAGTAAAAGTAAAAATGCAAGTTAAACGTAGAACAAAAGCAAATCCCGTACCTTTCCTGGATGAACAAAGCCAATGTCTATTATAATGTATTATACAAATAGCTTTTTTGCTAAAAAAAATCTTCCAGGAAGTCTTAGAGTTTTTATTTGGGAAGTGCAGAGGCTGGTTTTTCCTTCATTCGAGTGATATAGACAGTGTTCACTTGAAATGCTCCCTAAAATATTTGAAGTGGTCATACTCAGCTAGGTGGCTCCTAGCTGACATCTGACTCTGCTTATGAGTTTAACAGGAGAGGAAGGGAAGAGGATGTAATCATTAAATTCTAAAGCATAATAAACATGACCAACAAAGTTTTCTAAAGTAAAACAATTTGCTTACAATACACTGTTTCTTCTTATTTAAATAAATCAGCTCCCTAATCCTGCAAGCTTGACTCCTTTCTCAATCATCAAGTGTACCATATAGATCTTCCCTAAATGGGGGCAATATTCCAAACTAAGGCATGGTTCACATAGGTTTCTAAATTTGGTTCTTTTGGACTTAGATTGACATCCCTAGCCTAATCTACTATCAGTTATGGAAGTTATGGAAGTTTTACAGTAAATTTATATAGCCAGCTCTAAATTACAGCAAAATCCTTTTTTGGCTTAAAATTTCAATTTGAGAAGGTAAAATATTAAAAGTATATCAGTTCAGTCATTCACATTATCAAATGAGATACATTAAGATGCTTCACCAATGCTTTTTCCTTTTTATTTTCTCTTTTATTCTTCTCCCTCCCTCCCTTCCCCCGGTCTTCCCCTCCTCTCTCCCTCCGTCTTCCCATCTCCCTTTTCCTTTCCCTTTCTCCCTCTGTCTCTTTCTTTTTGTGCTGTTTTCATATTCAAAGTGAAGGAGCCACCGAGGAGTACATACCAAGTCAAATATTGACTGTAGAGAAACATTCATAGAGGTTTTGTGTTTTGTCTCTATTTTTTGTAGGAAGGTTTCATTTAGTTTAGGCATGTGGTAAGATACAAAATTTTGCTATTGGGATGATACAGCTTTAGCTTCAAGATACTGTTCTCAACAAAAAGGATAGAGTTATTTCTGTAGCTGACTGGTAATTTTTGTTCTAAAGATGTTTTCATCCTAGTCTTGAAAAAATTCTATAGCTATATAAAATAATTTATATTGATGGCATTTCAAACAACCTTTTACTATATTTTTTCCCTCACAAATTTTATAGTTTTTTTATTTTCAACAATAGATTGTCAAAGATTACTACTAGTATCACATACAGCTCGTGTTTGCACACAGAAACAAAGAAACTTGAACTTCATTCCATGTAAGCTAAATGGGTAAATATGTAATTTTTATGAGATACTATTACCCACATTTTCATCTTCATGGATTCATAGCTTTCTGGGCTAGGCATATTGGAAAGTACTGCAAAATAAGCTTGAGAAAAGTAAATTTTAAAAACATTTTTGGCTTTTAGCCATGCATATTGTTTAATGCCATTGCTTTAGTATTACAACAGAACATAGCCTGTGAACTGAAAATCAGATTGTTCAGTTGGATCAAATTTTTTAAATAGTAGATATCATTAACTCTAATTGTATTCTGTGAATGAGCTAATGAAACAGTGACATCGTAACAAAAAGTGACAACAGGGCAGGTGTGGAGGCTCACGTCTGTAATCCCAGCACGTTGGGAGGCAGGTGGATCACTTGAGATCAGGAGTTTGAGACCAGCCTGGCCAACATGGTGAAACTCCGTCTCTACTAAAAATACAAAAATTAGCCAGGTGTGGTGGTGGGCGCCGGTAGTCCCAGCTACTTGGGAGGCTGAGACAGGAGAATCACTTGAACCTGGAAGGTGGAGGTTGCAGTAAGCCGAGATCACACCATTGCACTCCAGCCTGGGGTACAGAGTGAGACTCCATCTCCAAAACAAACAAACAAACAAAAAAGTGACAATAAAAATAAAATTATCTTTTCAAGTATTTTATATTATTTTGAATCTATGCAACCAGGATGACTTTTTTTTTGTTTTTTGTTTTTGTCAAAATGAAGAAGCTGCTTGTTTTGATCTTCTGTCCAAAATCGGTTTTTGGCATTTTGTCAAGAGAAGAACCAGCAGCATTTATTGTACGACTGATGAGTGTGTTAGACAGTTGCACTGCTTGCTCCTCACAGTCTTGAAGGCCTGGACTGTAATTAACGTGACAGTCCTTGGAAGCTACTTGGGAAGCTGAGGCAGCGGTATCACTGGATCCCAGGAGGTTGAGGCTACAGGGAGCCATGCTCATGCCATTGTACTCCAGCCTAGGCAAACTTGTCTCAAAAACCCAAACCCAAACAAAACACAAAACAAACAAAACGTTGAAGAATTACTTTAACTTTGAAAAGTGGAATGGGTTAGGAAAGGGCATTTTTGAGAGTACAGCGTAATCAAAGTGAAGGCTTGGAATTATGTAAGATAAGATGAATAATCCAGTGTGACTTCAATGTAGGAAGGATACCCAGAGTTGAGTAATGAGAGTTATATCATGAAGGTTACACGGTGGGGGCGGGGAGCGGGGAAGGGAAAGGGGGGGGTTCTGAAGCCCAGAGGGAGATGTTCGTACTTCATTTTGTATGTCATGGGAAATGACGTGGCCAAATCTGTGTTTCAGAAGATGATGTTTGTAGTTGTTCAGAGGATAGATTAAAGAAAAGAGACTGGGAAGACAAAGAACATGTCATGTGAATTGGCAAACCATGAGAGCTTGTACTAGGACAGGGGTAATAAAAAAGAGCAAGTGATATGCCAACCACAGACACTGATTGTAGAAGAATGATTGACAGAATCTGGTGATGGAATGAGTTGAGAGAGAGATAACTGATGATGATGATGCTTATTATCTTTATTATTATTATCACTGGATTCCCAAGTTTCTCTTACAATATGACCTGATAAAGCAGGAATAAAGCATAAAATAGAAACAATTTAAACTCTGTCCCATGAAAACTCAAGAATAATTCTGTTTTTACTTGATCTGCATATTGCTCCTTACCATTGCTGTGTGCCTGATGACTGGGCCAGTCCATAGTGAGGTTATCCATACATTAACCATATTTCATTATGATATGTGAGTGACTGATTATTGAGTAAAATATAAAGCACAGGTGCGCGGGGAGATGAGAGCTGTACAGGCTATTCAGGAATATGCATCATTTGATGATTTTTCTGCTTTCTGTAGGTGAGCCCTACTTTGGAGTCTTTTTTCCTGCTTAGGTGACACTTAGAACTGTTGCAGACTTTAGTGATTGAAGAAATGCCTTCTGGTCAGTGGGTGGCAGTGTTACATAGAGGAAGGAGAATAGGTTGTAGTCGGAAGACTTCTGGACAATCCCTGGCTGTGTGACTCACCTTCAGAATCAGTTGGAACTTTCTTTTAAGTATAGATTCCCATATCCTACCCTTTGGAGATTTGGTTCAGTCATTCTGGTATGGGACCCCAAAACAGGGATATGTATGTATTTTTTTTAACATTCTAGATAATTTTGAGAGTTACCTAAAGTTATGAACTAGTGACTTAATCTCTTTCTGAGTCTCAGCTTTTAGGATTGCTATGAATGTTAAATGAGAAAATATGTCTAAATTTTATGAACTTTAACTCACAATAAAATATATGCTATTAATTAGATTACTTCTTGAAATAACTTTTCTATCCCTTTTTAAAAGACTTCAATTTCTTATTGAATATGGGATCATATTATATTTGTTTGATTTTGTGCCTTGTGATAGCAGAGAGAAAAATGATGAATTCTGTCTAAACTAATATGTAAAATATATCCACTAGATAATAGTTTTAGATATGAAAGGGATGGTAGAAAGAAGAATCTTATTTGAATTATGTATTTATTTTCAAAATCTGAGGAATAAACGCAAATTTTTAAAAGTAGCAAGGACTTGTAAACAGAAATTGTTTCTATATATTTTAATACAAAATCCACATTTATTATTAGCACCAATGATTTAACTTACAAATATATTCTGACTCCCTGGTTTTAAGACCAATAGCTTAAGTTAAACACACCCTTCATCTCTTTCAAAGTCAAAAACAATAAAGCAACAAAATAACACCTACAAGCAATAGTAGCAATGGCGATTTGAAAACACATACATTAAGTTAATGGGACTTCAATAGCTCAGTACAAACTATATAATAATATGTAGCATAGATGTCAATTGACCTTGATTCTTACAGTCTGTTGTAATCAGTTTCATAGCCTTTAGTCACAGTTTCTGTGTAACTAGAGTTACCTCGCCTTCTCAGTTCTGAGGGGCTTTCTAATACGAGCTCCACTGTTTTTTATGACAGTACCACAGTATCTTCTTCCTTCTACGGTCTCCCTGTTTTTGTCTTGCTTCTGCTTCTTCAAATCTGTGCCTGGACAACTTTCATGTTAATCCATTCTGAGTCATTTGTTCTTCTTGGCCTGTCAAGACACCCAAAAAAGGCCAAGTTGTTCACCCAGGGATCCATACTGGCACATTCCTTCTGCACTTGATACTATCTTTTAATTCCCTTCAACCAGGGACCAGTCACTTTAGGCTATTAGCCTGCAGGTCATTTAGAAGATTTAAGTAAATATCTGATTTGAGGAACCTGGGATAAGAGTCCTTTTCCATAAGAGTATATATAACTTTTTGTGCTTCATCAAAACATGTGAGGGTTGGTGCTTTAATCTTCTTGGCTGTAGATTCTCGAGTGCGGAAGTCAATATTGATCTAAAAAAGAAAACCTTGTTAGTTAATATATACTTCTTATTTATGGCAAATTTTATGATGTTACTGTGTTTTTTGAATCTCCTTAGAAAGTGATTTTAAGGCCTCATTTAAATCAACTAAAATATCTCTTAAATGCCTTTCCAAAGTCAGCTCTATACTAGATGTGAAGGAGATAAGAAATACTACAAAAATGTCTTTGTTCCAAATTTCCTCATAGTATAGTTTTGGGAGAGGCAAAAGAAGCAGACATGAAAAATTTAAGTATCCACGTAAGATGATCCATATGTCACAAAGAGTGATATGGGCATTTAAGATTTACAGGAGGAGAAGGCTCTTTTTGTTGCTATTTTCTGCTTAGACCAAGAATATTTATCTGGTACTACTGTTAATTGGAAATACTTTTGCTGCTGCAATTGTATACATTATGCAAATCTGCATTTTCTTATCCAAAATGAGAGCACTCATTAAGGACTCCCTGACATGCAGTTCTGGTCAGTAACAATACCCTTAACCCTTCCCTCACCCTCATCATGGCAGCTGGTTTTATAAAATCAATCTCTTCATTCTACTGTGCTGAAACCTTCACCAATATAGAAAATTAGATTCTCATTGCACTGAACTATATTTATATACCTAAGTATGTAGAAGTAAAATTATATACCCCCAAAAGATTTTATCTTGTTGTATATATTAAATGTTATTTCTGCATGTAGGGTCTTTTACGGAGAAACTGAAGATGATAAGCTTAACACTCACTTGTTTAGCAGCATCTGAATGCACAAATACTTTATATATCTCTTCTGCTTTGCAGGGCAAAAGATCAGACTCTGTTTTCTTATAGTCTTCACAAGCCAGCCAGAACTCAATATTCTCCTCACTGAATTCAGACTTTAGGAAACTTCCAAAGACTTTTTGACCAGCTAAAAAGAAAGGGGGGGGGGGCGGGTGGGAAGATAATTCATTTAAATAAACCAACAAATGAATACTTTGAAGAAGAAATTTGTAAGAAAAATACAATTGCATTCTATTCATACAAAGGTAAGAGACAGCTACTGCTGAAATAGCTATATTATAGATTGTAGAGATGAGAAGGCATTTGAAATTTCTTCATTCATAGAAGAGGAATCTGGGGCCAGCCAAACTCGTTCACAGTCACACTGCTACTTAATGGTGGCTACCGAACTATGTTTTGCTTCTATCTGCTGTTCGAATTGAAATTCTGCTCCCCTGAATATAAAACCATCTTTTTTATATGCCAAATCTTAGCCAGAGTAGAGAGTATTTTAGGGAAGCAAATACTGACAAAAGGCATTAACATCACATTAATAATTAGCAAATATAATTTCCCCATCTAATTTATATTAGCCAGAAAATAGGCCTATATATGATCTGTAGGCCTGATGTACTAATTATGTTTGCTAGCGTTTACTGAGACTTTTATATTGTACCATTTATGATCCATATCTATACCATTTATTTGTTTAGCTGAATTATAAACAAAGTCAGCTGAGCTAGAGTGAACAAGGTGATTCCCAAGTAAAGCTCCTTAGGGTGTCTGTGGGGAGGAAAGAATAATCTCACTCTTTAGAGATAGAGACCACACTGCTCATCTGCACCTCTGAAAAAGGTCCTAATCTCATTAGAATTGTTATGCCCAAGACAAGGGGAAGGCAAGCTGATTTCATTCTTTACCTTCTCTCATCTGAAAATCTCCACAAGACTATTTGTGCTTAAAAATCCTTCTATCATGTTTATGTCAAAACAACTATCATGTTATAATAATGCAATTATTTATGTTATGTATCTCAACCACCTTCAAGGCAGTAAGAGACTATCTTTGATTTTGAATCCTTGGTACCTCTACAATGTCCTCTACATAAGAGTGAGATGAATGATGAATATATGAAAGATAATTTAATTAATTGAATGAACGAATCATACTTGTTACATCTAAGTGTAGAAAAATACGTTCTTTAGGCAGATTTCAAAACGGCAATGTGCATGTTAATATATTTAGCTTACTTTTAAAAACTTTACATATCAGAATCCCAGCACAGTGTTTAATTTTATCTCCATAATGATCTATGAAAATACCTAATTTTCTTGGCAAATTTGTCTAAAAGGAGTTGGCAGAATTGAGTGCAAAGTCAGCATTATTAAGAGGCATACTATGCTGAAGTTATCAGTAACTACAGACAAACTAGAATACAACTTTTTGCATACTATCCTACCCCGAATACTATATTTAGTGAAGCCATTCCATTTTTTAGAGTATTGCACTGAACCCAGAAACATTCAATAGTTATACTTACTTTGGTTGGCAAGAAGTTTTTCCAGAGACAGAGACCATTGCATTACTTCAGCAGCAGAAAGTCTGCAGGGGACAAAAATGTATGTACATTAGTCATTTTTAAAAATGTAAGCACACATGAAATAAGAATGGCTGTTACACTTTGATAACTTCACAAACTAAAACTGTAGTTCTAATAAATATGTCAAAATTTATTCACAAAATGCAAAACATCCCTTAGAGTTACTATAGTTATGAAAAAAAACCTACCAATAAAGTTTGAAAAAAATCCAAATAGATAAAGTCCCATATGTGTGTGCACACATTTGTATTCAATTTACATTGGTACTGATATAGTCTCACTTTATTTGGCATGTTACTTAAAAAAAATGAAGTCTACTGTGTGCAGTATTTATCCCTTGCTGGGATATAGAGATGATGCATAGGCGTCTCTTGAAAATGATAATGATAGTTTAGTGTATTAGTGTACTTACATGTCCTTGGACTTGGAAGATTTCATTCCAGATTCCAGATGTGGGATCATAGATCTCAGGTATGCTTTCATATCCATTCCACTGCAAAAGACATAAAAGTGAATATTCATGTTTCTTCAGAATTCATTTTATTTGTAAAAATACATAGAATAAAGTTATCTAAGGAATAAAGCAATACTAAAAATGGTTGATATAACATTTTGCTATATTTGGATAGAGCCCATTTTTATGAGTCCATGTACAGAAAAGCTCCTACCCAATTTAATGCCATATCAAGATTTATTTTTTAATACAGCTGAATATTACTTACTACTCACAACAGACAATTAACTCCTCTGATCTGGCTAAACTAAATGCTCACATTCTCTTCCATTCATTTTCAATCCTTCTGCCATTAAAGATAACCTGTTAAAATTCACAAAGTGAGATTCTGAACAAACTTACAAAGTCTTTGGCCTCCTTTTTTGCATTTTGTCGTCTAGAAGTGAATGAGCGGTTCCTTTCAATTCCTTTGGGTTAGCAGAGAAGAACATTCCTGGCATTTTGTCTAACTTTGGAGTGGAGATGGCTGCTGCGCGCATGGTGCTCTGAGCAAATATGCGCGCGTCAACGACTCTGCTGCTTTATATAGTAGAATGCAGACAGGCACTTGCTGTTTGAAGGAGTGTGTTTATCAAGTGATGTTACCACAGACACTGGAAGTTCCCCCTTTCTTGGTGTGCTGTGACGTGTATCTTGAAAAAAAAAAGCATACAGTGATGTCTTGTGGTTGAAACTTAACCAAACGAGAACAGGTCACTTGATTAGAAAGAAAGGAAATTAAACATACAGAGGTACACACACATATGTCACATGTCTAAAGCATTAACAGCATCAGTCTTTGGTTCTGGAGGATATTTGTTTATTTTAATAGTTGCATGTTTCAATAAACTGTTTCATTTGGCATATTAATTTATCACATAGAAACTCACACAGAAATTCATCACATAGAGTTGTATCTTACTCAATGCTTTGGATAGTCCTTGACTATAAAATTCATCTGATCAAAATATTTTAAGAGTTCTTTTTTTTTTTCCTCAGGAAGCAGTGCAAAGTAAACAAATAACTTTTGTTTAATTATTTTTGCACATACCTAATAGGAGGGAAAGTTATGAGAGGCTATCTTCACGTTTTCCCACTCCAATTCTCATCCCTTATTTCCATGGCAGGAAATTTCCATGTTAGTATTTTCCAAGGCATGTGCTAGACATCGACTGGCAATACATAAGGTGATTTTAAGGGGTACATGGCTTTTAATATTATTTTCATGTTAAGAATATAACTAGTATATCAAACTTTGATTTTTGCCTATTTTGCATATTAGGAAAAAAATAAAGTTTAATTAAAACAAATCATAAATGTTTAATTGTATACAAATATGACATAATTTGTAAACATACTGATACTAAGTTTGCAGTATCAGAGGAAAAACTGTTCAAGGTAAAATAAAAGTCTATTTGGATAGACCAATGATATGTACTTCTTAGGTAATGATCTTTCACATTTTGACAGTACCTCTGGAAATAACAGTTTTAGCTTTAATAGAGATTAAAATTTAAAAGACAAACAAAACTCAAAGAACTAGATGACTAATCACGTATAAGGATAGAGAAGTTAGTAAATATAAGCTTTCCAGAGTTTATATAATGCGCGTGGCTTATTTCTTAAGAGTACCTTAAGCCTCCTTGGATTTTACCCCTGAAAGGACAACACTTTGCTTTGAAAGGACAAAAAAGCCTTTACTTAAAGAAGCTTCTGATGGTATCAGGTAACGCTGATAAAAGGGAGGGGAGTATTAACTTTTCTATTCTGGTTCTATCATCAGGATAAAGAATATTTGAAGAAAACACATTTACAGTATTATAAAATTCACTTATACACAGCCATCAACTTCACTATAATGAGCTCATTATATCATATGTAAGAAGCATCATTTTATGTTGGGAAGAAAACATGAGGCATTAAGAAAGATAACTAGTGAGATGAGCTGGCCACTTTGGAAGTGACCCGAATGAAACCGGCGAAGCTAAAAGACTGATGACATAAAGGCATTTGTTTGTATACTTCCTGTGGTTCAGTCCATACTTAATTTCCTGTTAAAATCTTCAACGTTGCTCATGTTTGTTGATCTAGTATCCTCTCACTCCTCTAGCTAATTGTGAGTAAATTATGTTAGAGTAAAATGATTTAAAAATTATTTTTGACAGCCCAGTATTATTATCATCCAAATATACTGACAGTTTCCAAAGAACAAGAGCAGCAGCAAAAGTTATGGGGCCAAGTTAGTTTGGGAAATGTTGGGCTCCTCACTTGTTAAAGAACTAAATCCTCTTTAGATAGGGAAAATAGTTTTTTGAAATAATGTTTTTTTGACACCATGTTAAGAAACTGTGGTCTGAGATCAAAATAAGTTTTGCCTATAGCGTATTTAGGAACTGTTTTGATGCTCCCAACATTTTGCTACCCCTACCCCAATATAGATTTTGAAGCGCAAGCATTTACAAGTGCATGCTTCCACACTTGAACAGAAATATAAACTCTTGAAAGAGGGAGTCCTTTCAAAATTCCTGTATGACAATTGGCTGATAAGGTCACCTTAGTCATGCAGTAATGCAGCTGCTTTCTCAGAGGCTGTTTGCTAATCCATGCAAAGTCTGTATGTTCCAGAACAAGGCAAATTTGGTCAAGTTGTATCAGCAAGTGCTGACGAGCTCATGGCAGGGCATTGAAAGTTCCCTATTAATTTTAAAGAGAGTGCCACTATCTGGCCCCTCTTTGTAAAATTCACTAAGAAAAGATAAACTGTCAAATCATAACTTTATTGAATCAATGACTTTGGTTGAAATAGTAGAGGATTTCAAAAACATCAGTAGAAGAAACAGTGGGTCTCACAAACAATCTGGATTTCAGTTTTCCCTCTTTGAAACTGTGCTAAAACGTCTAGGTTGGAGTTTCTAGGAAAAAGAACACTTCATATAGTCTTAGTGTTATCTTTTTTAAAAAAAAGAAAAATTAATGGATTTCATTTTTAGGGAAGTTTTAGGTTTACGGTAAAATTGAGTGGAAAGTACAGAGTTCCCACATACTCCCCACCTTTCACCTTGCCTCCAGCTCCACCACCAGCACCATCCCTCATTAGTGGGAAATATTTGTTACAATTGATGAACCTACAGCGACACAGCATTATCATCTAAAATCTATAGTTTACATTAGAGTTCACTCTTGATGCTGTACATTCCATGAGTTTGACAAATGTATCATGATATGTATCCATCATTATAGTACCATACAAAATACTTTTCCTTCCCTAAAAATCCCAGTGCTATATTTTAAAATACCTAGGAGATTGGTTCAGTAAGACATTTCAGATTATGGCTGTTGATATTGATAGGAAAAATAAGGAAAATTTTAATCTTTGCTGAACTGATTTGAATTGAAACATTTGGTTTCAATTACTCCAATTAATTGAATACTAATAGGGAGTGCTTTGCTTAAGCCTGATGTTTTTCAAACTTTTAAAATGTTGCTAAAATCTTGTTGTGGATATTAGAGTTGCAAGACAAGGGGTAATGATGAATGTAATATTCTACTTTAAAATAAAAATGTATTTATACTGGAAAAGTCAGTGACATGGAAAGATAGCTTGATCCATTGAAACAAAATGTTTTGATTCAGCAAACTTTAATTGCATCCCTACAGTGTATCACACATAAGGTACTGCAGATACAAAGATGAATGAATCTCTGTCTTAAGGGGTCCACTGTGTAGTAGGGCTGACAAATATTTGTGAAAGGTGCCATCAGAGAGGAATGTACAGAGGAAAGAACACAGAGGAGTAATTAGCTCTGGAAGTATGGGAAGGGAAGTCAAGTACTGCTGTCTTTACTATAAAATCAACATGTATCTATTCTTTGCTTGTTTCTGCATTTATATTTAGTATCCCTTGGAAAGTTCAAATGGCTGCAATGGTCTAGCAAGAGACCAGTTTTATGTTGAAGGATCATGGGAAAATGGATCCCATATGTACTCACAAAGCTTTGCAAACTTTCACAAGGACACTGAATGACTTTGTTGAATTAGCATAACCACTCAGAGCTTCCTGTCTTCAAGGTTTATAGGTAAGAGTACTAAAAGTGTTTCAGCTAAATTTCATAGAGTTTATTTGAAAATTTGAAAAAGTTGCAACAAAAGTGAGTTTAGAAGGATTTTTCTCTATGCGTGTATAGAGGGTTGGTGAAAACTTTATATCATGTATGAATGAAAAGATTAAACATTTTAGACTTGCTTATGATTTTGTTATGAAGAAATATGGGTTTTAATAAGAGCAAATATCTGAAACACACTGAACTTCAATAATCTCAGTAAGTGCAACTGAGCAAGATAAGAATCTAGTTTCTTTTTCTCACTCTGCTCTAGTCTTTCAGTCAACATTGACTGCCTCCTTTCTATAATATGAGAATTTACAAGAAAATAGAATGTGGGACCTTCAGTGAACTGAGCTTATGTGATTCAATAAGCCTCATTCACCCTAAATCTAATTTTACCAGTTAAGTTCTCGATAATAGGCCCATGTTCCAAGACATTCTTGAAAGCACTGAGGAAATCTTTGGATAATATTATCTCTGGTATATTTATTCCACATTGGATTTATTTTCATTTAATGTCACACTATCACTTATAATCCTTTCAACAAGAGACAGTAGTTATGTCTGACTCTAGACCATGCTTTGCAAATAAAATTTCCTAAGTACGGAAGCAGGTGCCTTATTCCCAAACCCAAAATAAATGGAGAACTATGCTAAATGAACGCTGACACATTATTTGGAGTGGGGATAGAATGTTCTATTACATAACAATGACATAAATGCAAAAAAAATAATGGAAGTGCTCAAATATCTGCATGTAGAGGATTTGTAATGGAAGGTGATAATAGTTTGGATCTATGTTCTCTCTAAATTTCATGTTGAACTGTAATTCCCAGTGTTTGAGATGGGGCCTGGTGGGAGGTGATTGGATCCTGGGGGAGAATCCCTCATAGCTTGGTGCTGTCTTCACAATGGTGAGTAAGTTCCCTCGAGATCTGATTGTTTAAAAGAGTGTGGCCCTGTCCCCCACAATTATCTCTCTTGCTCCCATTCCTGCCATGTGAGACACCTGTTCCCCCTTCATCTTCTGCCATGATTGGAAACTTCCTGAGGCCTCCCCAGAAGCAGATGCTAGCTCTATGCTTCCTGTACAAGCTACAGAACCATGAGCCAATGAAACCACTTTTCTTTACATAAATTACTTAGTCTTAGGTATTTCTTTATAGCAATGCAAGAATGGCCTAGTACAGAAAATTGGTACTGAGGAGGGGGGAACTGCTATAAAGTTACTTGAAAATGTGGAAGCAGCTTTGGAACTGGGTAACAAGCAGAGGTTGGAAGAGTATGGAGAGCTCAGAAGAAGACAAGAAGATGATGGAAAGTTTGGAATTTATTAGAGACTGGTTAAATGGTCATGATCAAAATGCTGATAGTGATATAGACAATAAAGTCCAGGCTGAGGAG